GGGAAGGGAGGGGGTAGGTCTGTTATTTTCGGCCCAGACTCTGACAGCCGAGTGCCTATCGCTCCTCGTTAAAATTCTCCTTATATATCTTTTCTAGACGATTCCTCCTTTCGCCGGCCACTCCTATGGGCCAGGTAAGTTATAAGTGGGGAGAAAACGATGCGTGAATGCCAAACAGGAACTATAGGTGGTTAAGAAGTCAATAAACAAAAATGATTAGTGCCATGCTGGCAATACATGTTCTGATAGTAGTTAGAGAAAGGCTGAAAAAATAATACATGTGTCTGTGCTGCTCATGACAGTCTCATTCTTGATTTTGTAAGCTACAAAGAGGTCAATTTGGCAATTAAGGGATGTACTATTCGCTCTGAGGACAGTCGATGGATTTGTCCACAGGACTCAGGCTGACGTCATCGCCGTGTTCGGTTTGGCCTCGTACGTAGTACGAAGTTCCGCGACGTGACAGCTTGACGGGAGACGATTTAAAGCTACGAGCCGGCGCGATAACAAACGTGAAGGAATGAGGCTCTGTCGCGACAAAACAGCAATGAATCCCACTTCTCTATTTGAGCGCCTTCACACCGGCAAGGCGCTTTTGAATGTTGATACATGTTTGTTTGGATTTACTTAAAACTGAATGAAAATCATCATCAGAAATAAATCTCTTGTCAACAGTGCAGCTGACAAAAATTTGACCCGCACCGCCGGTTTTGCCCAGTTAACAAACCGCCCCTGTGCTTCACATTTACAGATACGAAAATAGACAGCTCCATTTTTGTAAAACCGGTATAAATTCAGTAGGGTATAATATTCGAGACGACGAATAATGAATCCTTAAACGTTGTGAATCCAACAATGTGCAACCGGCATACGACAGGTCTATGACCTGTTTCCTAGACAGTTCATTCCATGGCCTCCTTTTTTATACGGTATATTTTTAAGGAGAACAATTCTTTTTTTGTTGTCTCGGATGGCATCCAGTTTTCACCATTATACAAAGCTCTCAAAATCCCAGACGCCAGCAAAATAATTAAGTATAGAGTCTAGATCCTTTAAAGTCAAGTGAAATATTACCTCTGACTCAAAAACAGCATAACTTTCCCCATGAGTCAGCGTTCTCACCACGTTTGTGAACTGACGAGCTGTTCTTTAAATGGTAAAATGCTGCCGATTTTAGAGAAATTATGTCAGTTACACAGACGACGAGCTTTGTCATGTGTAGTTTGCAAAGAAAAAAGAAACAGATGAGATCTCCACAGAGCCGCAATGAAAAATCCTGAGATGTGGTTAATCATTTTCTGAGACTACAAGGCAGCTCTATCTTTTTTTTTTAAACGTTGAAAAATAAGGCACAATGTATATTCATTCTAGACGATTTACTACCTCATCAGCATGTTTTTGATGCGTTTTTGTTTTTTTGGAAAGCAGGGATTTATTCTAGCCTGTATGACAAGGCCAATCCCCATTTTGTGTTGGACTTATTAACCAACAATGGAGATACAGGCCATGAAAATATCTTCCCCACATAGGTACCAAAATCATTTTTTAACGCTCAATAGGAAGAGCCTTAAGATAACACCACGGTCGTCTGCACCAGAGGAGCAAAAACTTCAAAACTGATGCACATAGTTACAAACACTGAATGCTATAAAATCAAATTACACTTGAAAGGGTAGAAGCAAGAACTACATTTAACGTGTCCTTATAAACGGAAAAGATTTTTTAAAAAGATAGATCATATAAATAGAAAGATGTACAGTCAAAATATATCATTTTTGATGCAAGTGTCTTACGCTCCGGTCAACATAACTTAGATCTTCGACCTTGTGTGTCAGGACCAACCCGTGTTGAGAACGATGCAAAATCCCTGCAGAAAGACCGAGATACTCGATTCAAATTTCATGGTGATCAAACTTGGATCTTCTGCGTGCGATGGCAAAACACCAAGCCACCACATCGCAGACGCTGCCATAGACTGACTGACAGACAGACAGACAGACAGACAGACAGACAGACAGACAGACAGACAGACAGACAGATAGACAGATAGATAGATAGATAGATAATAGATGAAAGAATGAAATCCGTAAACTTTTCCTGTTGAAAATGTACCCGCAATCTGAAATATATCCCCTGATTCCTATATACTCATATTATTATTGAACTTCTTTTTTTGTTTGTTGAATTCTTTGTTGTTCCTCATTTTTTACCGATTTTTCTCCTCTTTGTCAACCCCCCCCCCTCCCCTCTCCCTCTCTGTCTCTGTCTCTCTCTCTCTCTCTCTCTCTCTCTCTCTCTCTCTCTCTCTCTCTCTCTCTCTCTCTCTCTCTCTCTCTCTCTCTCTCTCTCTCCCTATTTCTCTCTATCTGTTATTCTCTCTCATCCTCCCACCTACCAGCCATACACACAGGCAAATAATATTATCCCCTAAGGCATACAAATTAGAAAAACAACAAAAATAAATATTTTGTCACGACATATTTCAAAGCTTAACTCTGTACGAGGTTATACAAAACTACATTTATTTACAATACATTTTCCTTTAACTGGAAAGCACACAATTACATTAATTAGCTTAAACAGTCAAATGATATACGTATCGATCAGACTTATACGCAGGGGGTATCCTATACAAGATTCAAATAAACGAAATTCAGGAAGTTTGAGTAAACAGTGGGGTGTGATACTATAATTTATGAAAGTTTAGAAGAATATATTTTAAAATAGATTTAGTAATAAATAAAACAACATTAAGCAAAACGATTTTGAGCGAGTTAAAAAAGTGTACAAAAGAGGTAATCATCAACTTAACCTGTAGATCTAGTTTAGATCCGTCTAAAGTTGAAAAATATTTCTGACCAGTCTCATCGTAATCTACCGATTGCTATTTGGTTGCGTGTTTCCTGCAAAGTATCCTTGAAAATTCTTTTGAGTTTGGATTAATATTCACAGATTTGGACAACATCTTTGATTTCATCTTCACCCAGTAGTTTGGATCTGTGCGGATATCTGTGAAAGCATCAAATTAAATATCATCTTGGAATTTTATATAACAATGATCCCTGAGCACAGAGAGTAGGCTAATTAGTTTTGTATCTGTATTTACATAAGCCATAACAACGTCATCAGCTGGTTCATTAGCTTTGAAAACCACAAGAGAAGGTATCCATGCAAGAGGCTCCAGAGCACGATTAAATAAACTTTGACATAATAATTGTTTTTTGTAAAGTTTCCTCTTTCTTTTCTTGGAGGCATGTAGTTCTGTCGGGTGTTTATTATTTTGGTTCTTGAACAGTATTTAAGTTATTCAACGTTTTTATGGAAAAAAAATTCTGGTTGTGTAAAACCAAAATGTTTAAGATAATATTTTTTTAAACGTTGGTGTTTTACAGCTTCATAGACACAATTTAAATAATAATAATAATAATAATAACAAATGACATTTATATAGCGCTCAACCCCGATTAAAGTACATAGGCTCTGAGCGCTTGATAAAAAAATACAAAACAATGTACAACAGTAACATTATCAAAAAACGTTGTGTTCTGACCAGAAGAAAACCACTCCAAATGTTAATCTTTATTAATTTAAAAACAGAAATGACTTCAGCTGACATTTAAATGAATCACAAGATTTGATCTCTCTTAAAGCACTTGGCAAAGCATTCCAGATCTATGGGCCTTAAATTTCTATTAATTCTCTTTCCCTTTCACCCATTATTTCAAGTTTCATAGATGGTATTTATTAATAACAAAAGTAAAACATCAAGCAGATCGTCTGGAGTGTTGACTTCTTTTTCATCGTTCGGTCACTCAATTGAGAGACGAATTGTAAATATGTCCCAAAAACGTCTTAAAACAGTTTGCATTCCATTTGGATACATCAAACAAAACCATTAAGGTACCGGTACTGATAAAAGTAGTAAGTCACAGCCCCACATCTTTTGACGTCTTTTCACAAACAAGAGAGAGAGAGAGGGGGGGGGGGGGAGAGAGAGAGAGAGAGAGAAGAGGGGGAGAGAAAAGGGGGGGGGGGGGGAGAGAGAGGGAGCATGTTTTATGGAGTGGGTTGTTTCAGCACGTGATACATGTATTTACTAATGTCCTGTCTTGTTGTACGTATACGTGAGTGCACCTAACCTTTGTAACATCCACTGCCATTGTAAACGAAACGACCAAGACAAATTAATTCTCCCTGCAAGATGGATAAAGGTTATCTTTCATTGTCACCATCATTGTCATTGTGATCATCTATTTATTTAGTGGCCTTAATTATCTAACACCCTAACATCTCTCCCTTTCTGTGTCTTCCTTTCCAGGAATGTTCACGATCAAGTTCAAGAGAGAGCTGATCCGCTGTTGCTACTGTCTGCATGGCCACCTCCGACGGCGCCGCACAGACTTGGACAGTAATGGCATCCGCCGCTCTCTGCTCATACCTCTCAAGAGAAACTCCGAGTCCTCCACATCCTCGATGAGAAATACAGACCGGATGGGACGTGCCGGTTTGGGAGGAGGCGGGGGAGGAGGAGGAGGAGGAGTAGGTGGTGGAGGAGGGTCTGGAGTGAATGTAGGAGGAGGCGTTGGAGGGGGAAGCGTTGGAGGAGGCAATACGTCAGGGGGGCTGGACCCCGGAAGTAGTCTAGGAGTTCAAGGCTGTCGGTATTCTTTCGTGTCGCCATTAGCTGAGGTAAAGGGGAGCTCGAGTCGCGGTTCGCTAAGCTCGCTCAGTCGGGATGACAGAGAGAGGGTTAATTTTATTTCATTAGGAAGGGAAGACAGGGTTAACTATGTTGCCTTCAGCATGTTGACCAGCTTAGAGCGATCGAACACGCCCAATCCAGTTAATCGGGAGGACCGAGCTAATTTAAACAATTTTGTTAGACTTGGTTCGGGTGAGTGAAGCAGGCAGAATCCTTTGGTGTGTGAATATCGACAAGAGCTCAAGTACTTTGGAAAGCTGGTCTCTTTCACATAAATTTGAATCTCACTTGCCGCACCCCCCCCCCCCAATCTTTTTCTCTTTCTCTCTCTCTCTCTCTCTCTCTCTCTCTCTCTCCTCTCTCTCTCTCTCTTTCTCTCTCTCTCTTCTTCTTCTTCTTCTTCTTCTTCTTCTTCTTCTTCTTCTTCTTCTTCTTCTTCTTCTTCTTCCCTTCTGTTTTCTCAGTGTCGCTTCGCTCTCTTTCTCAGTAATGAAATTAATGTGTACATTATTCTACTTTTTATTCATGTTTTTAAATACCATTGTTGACTGCTGCGTGCCTGAATGCTGACGATAAATGCTACTGAGGATTCATATTATGTACATAGAATATTTATTCTGTACATTGCTTTGTATAGTCTGCCATACAATGTTGTACAGTGACTCAAAATTTCATGATGAACAGACAAAATAAAATTATCCGTCAACGACAATACCGACAAAAGCACAGCAACAGTTACAATTACTAACAGATGACAGGCGACAACAACATTTAAAATCTAATTAAAATCTACATCAAGGTCACCAACATCACCATGACAACATAACAGTAACAACAGCAACCACAACGACACTAGCATCAACAACACCAACAAAAATTTCTAAAAATAATATCCCCAATAGCTGAATATTACTACCTCTCACTCGGCTCTTTGTCGTTGTGAGTGTATGATTTCCAATGTTCTCTTTTCATACAAAGTGCACAGCATGTTTTGCAACTGAATTTAGTCAACTCTTTTCAAAGAAAACATTCGAATGTGAATTCGATAAAAGGTATATATACAAGGCTTCTTTGGAAACTAGATCTAGTACACCGCGAAATAACGACGATCACACAAAAAGTGTGACATCGGTTGTTGTTTTTTTCATTGAAAAAGAAAGCTAGTATATCATATTATTATTCTGTTTGCCTATTTTTCATTAGATCTAAGTTTTAGTTCACATAACTATATTTAATGCTTAACGAAGCTGCATTCAATAACTAAAATTCACAGAACACACACTGCTAAAGACCATATCACTATTATATCATACTATATCACGGAATTGGCGTGCTTCTCATTCAAAAATTTCGGTTTCAGCATATTTCTAACGCATTGTTCTTCATAATATGAAGTAGAGTATGCACATAAAATAATGATAACAGTTCAATTTAAAGTTATACTATTTCTAAACTTCTTTTTAAATATCATAATGTGCACCCTAAAAGTATACGTAAAGGCCATCCTGATACAAAATAAAATCTCTCAACACATCTAGTTTTGTGTAGTCTATATTAATCTGTAGTAAAGGGTATTTTTGTTATTCAAAAGTTAAGACCTCGGATGGCGTATCGTCTGTAACGCCATCCAGAATAATAAGAAAAGAGCTTAATGGCATGTTCACTTCTTTTTGAGTAGACGGAAACTGTTTTAAAAAACCCAAAAACAACCACAGTACGAAGTGAAGTTGTGAATGACATTCTGAAGCAAGCATAATAATATAATAATCTTTTAAAATAAATGTCTATTCGAGCTCAGAGGTGGGATAATCACTTTAATTAAGTGAATGTCGGCTTCGGCTCTGAAGAGTTGATGAAGAAGATCCATAAGACATGAGTAATGGGAAGACAAATGGTGCCATTACGTGCCATTAGCCTATCCTGGCGTCAATACTGCGGTGGCCCCGAATAGGAAGTTGTTAGCGAGGAGAGGGATTCCAAACTAGAGAAGCCATTGTAGCAACTCACTATGTACTTAGCATCGACGTCTAGACACGTGGACTGTAGTGTTAGCAAAGTCCATGAAAACATGGACACTTATTGATCCACTGTTTCTCGATCTGGATGTGTCTGAGGAACGTTGTTTTCACGTGGCCTGGTGTGGTTTCTTTGTGCTTGAAATGACATGCAGTGAAGGACAGAAAGACAGTGAGTGAGAGAGAGAGAGAGAGAGAGAGAGAGAGAGAGAGAGAGAGAGAAAGAGAATAGGAAAGAATGTGTGCTGGTGTGCGTGCTTTGGTGTGTGCAGTAGCGCATGCGTGCGTTCCTGGAAGCGGTTACACGCAATTACGTGTTTATTATACTTATGTACATATACATTGTACTAACTCATGAGTTCATGCACTCACGCGCATACACACACACACACACACACACACATATATATACACGCACACACAAACACACACACACACACACACACACACACACACACACACACACACACACACACACACGCTTACCTGCTAAATGTGGTGCCAATGTTTTCCTTTTTTTCGTATACACGAATTTTCTGCTTCCCAACAGTCTTATTGAATAGCTACTGGATCATCAATGTTTTAAGCAGTAGCACCGATACTATAAAACTATAACAATTTCTTATGGGCTTAATCCTTTAAAGAACCGGTATAATTAGTCAATGAAACCATGTCGAACGATACCGTGCCATAGCTTTCTTTTTTGCTTAACCCCACAATACACACACCCCATCAAGATAAACCATGTGAAGTCTCTAAATATGTCACGTTGTTCTAATGACTACGTTTCATTAAGGCGTTATAATTATGGTCGGCGCTAATCGCCCGATCTCGGGCGGCTAGCGTCAGGTTACTCGACCGAATGTAGTCTAACGCAACTGGCCCGTGGCGATTTCTGCGACCTCTGGGTGGATAGCATTATCTGCCCACCCGGAGTCGGTCACCTAGATCTAGTCTTGTAGTGTAAACACGGCCTCGCGGCCTTCCGAGCGACATGAAGCTATTAAGAGCACCTAGCACACCCCTGTGATTGGCCCAAAATAGATCACAGATGATGTTTTTCCGCCATATATTTTTGTCGTCTTCTGAGGTTTCCCTCGAGAGTTGTCTAGATCCCCTAGATCTATCACTCTTTATTATTTAATTAGTATCTTTCATCGGAATGCTGGTGACAAACTTACTACCTTGTCTTAGCGCGTGACGGCCCGTGATACGAGTGTAAACAAACGTTCCAGTGCTGAGTTGAAACCGAGAAATTTTGTCTGTGGGCAGACAGAGAGAAAGACAGAGAGGAGGGGGGGGGAGAAAGAAAGAGAGAGAGAGAGTGAAAACGAGAAAGAGAAAGGGAGAGGAAAGGAGGGGGGGGGGGGTGTTATTCGATTTACTGATTCCTGTCGTTTTCTCTCTGCGTCTATTCACATGCTGACCCGACCCGGTGCGATACAGTCATTATTGTACAAATTATGGCCAGTCCCATCTTCATACATGACATGTATTATAATAATGTCAATTTGGTCAGATCATTGCAGTCAGTTTCAAACTTTCACGTTAGAAATATAACCAGTAACAATCGGATAAGACTATTAGATCTATAGATCTATGAGCCTTTCCTACAAGTTCGTCTTTCTGAGGAACTGTTCTCTTTGTAGATGTATTCAGGGAGACAGAGAATGGAAATCTAATCATATCTGGTGAATGTCACTCATAAACTGGGAGAAAGTTAGTAGATGGAAGAAGTCTTTTAAAAAAATAATATAACGAAAAGGCCACATGTATGACGTGGCCTGTAATGTAACTGAAATAGTGCGAACCCCCGCCAAACCTTATTTAGGCCACACATGAAAGCCAAAATAACCAAACTCGTGTAAAACATGCAGAAATCCCCACGGGCCAGAAAACGGAACAAGCGCAGAAATCCCCTAGCCTGACGCTAGCCACCCAAGATCGGGCAACTAGCCACTCAGTATAATTATTCACCTCTATGTGAATGATATGAATATCTTATCACATAATAAAATGTAATGTTAAAGTTATGCATACGGCTCAGCTCTAGTCTCAGGAAAGATTTTACTATCGACTACTCTTTCTTACACATCTTATTGTGAAAAAATGGGAACAATGAAGACGCCATTTCATGCGTCTTTACACATAATATTTATGGGTTTACAATTCAGTACGAGGACAGTGAATGTTGTTTTGATGGTGCGTTCAATCGATCTCTATACTATAATATCTTTGTATGCAATGTTAACATGAACATGTGCTTATCTACGACGGTGGATCGGAAAGTAATGGAAGTTGGCATCTATTGACTTCAGTAATAAAATCAATACACAAAATGAATCTCTACCTTCAAACAACCCGGTTAAGTTTAGCGAGATTTATTAAATGACGTCACAAACTAATTTTTAAAAATGATGGTCTGTGCTCAAGAGGAAAGCAGGTCGGGATCACAAAAGAACACATCTTTTTTTCTACATCTTTATACACTTTAAACGTATTCATGAAAATGTACAGTGTTTCTAGAGAACCTGCTTTTTCAAATAAGAAACAGTCTGTCGTTAAGTAAGAGAATAATTTAGTAGGTGGTTGGCGGGTGCTCCGGTGTGGTTTGCTCCTTCTTTCCTATCAAACATAATATAATATCGTCTCTAACTCCCCTCCTTCTTGTTTGTGTTTGTTACTCCCTTGTAACACCTCTAATCTTCGGCACTTATATGCCATTATTGCGTTGCAAGTGCTGTAAAACTTTTACGAAAGAAAAATAAAAGAGAATGCTTTAGTGAAGACGCTATTTTGATGACCCACGTCTTTGCCACTCAAATTCCTCTAAGAACGAGAAGACCGCCGAGTATATCCGGCACCGTGTTGGGCAAGATCCCTATACCAAATCTACACGAGAACTAAGTGGCATGTTATATGGGGTGCCCACTACGGCTGGATCGGGGCGATCGCCCCGACTCGGTCGCCTGAAACTGAAAACAAACACAGCTCCCCTGTGACTTCTGGTTTTTTCCTACTTTGATAGATAAGCTTAACGGACGAACGTTTGAACACATTCAGAAATCTGGCAAAAGCTGTAAAAATTTTTTTAGCTGCGAAGCATAGTAGGTAGAAGGTGACTACCTCTGTGTCTTCCGGACGATTTTGTGGAGGTTGGAAATTGTGCTCATTAATTCGGAGATAATATTGAAAAGGACTGGAAATTTCAAGTCCATAGCATTAAAAGACTTCAGGATATTCGCAACTTACTCTTGTATCCACTCTCGTATGTACGTTAGGCA